AGACGAAAAAAAGGAACGAGAGAGAGCTAGAGAGGCCGGGAGAAAGAAAAGTGACTCGAACCCTCCTCGTGACTACAAGAGGTCTCTTGGACTGTTGAAACAAGTCCCTTCCCGAATAGGCAGTCTCCCTTGAGTTATTGAATCAATCCCTTCCAAAAAAAGCAAATCGTAACACCGTGTCCCAAATCGAAGCACCGTGTCCCTTAGAGCTTTTGAAGCAATCCCCTCCCAAAAAACAAAGTCGCAGCACCGTGACCGCGTCCCTTAATTTCGGAACAAGACCCTTTCCCAAAACAAAATCGCAAGCACGGTGTCCTTTTGTTTTTTGGAACAAAACCTTCCCCAAAACCAAATCGCAAGCGCCGCGTCTCTTTGTTGTCTGGAAAAGCCGCAAATCCCAAGAGAGGAAGAAGAACAGTGGACAACAAAGAAGAGCCCTGCCCTTTCTGTTTATTGTTCTTTTCTTTCTCCTTTTGTGTCCAGAAGGCCCTCTTTCCTGCACCGCTTCCTATTGCTTCTGTCTCCTTCGCTCTGTTCTCTATCTGTCGCTCTTCCACTGTCTTTCTTTTCCTGTTCTCCCTGACTGCTATCTCCTTTCCTTTGTTTCTCTCTCTCTCTCTCTCTCTCGCTCCTTTTCTGTTTTGTGATTTGCTATTCTTTCAATTTCTGCTCTTACATTCATTTATATAACTTAAATATGAAGGCCCCCCCCCCCCCCGGATTCAAATTACCAAGTTGTTTTACTTCCCGCCCCCTTGGGGAAACAAATAAGCAGAGGCAGTCTTTGGGTTTTTTTTTTTTTTTTTTTTTTTTTTTTGGGGGGGGGGGGGGGGGGGAATGTTTCCTTTCTAGGGTTTGGCTCTTGCCCCGTAAGCTAGTTCTCTATACTTTCGGAGGAAAACCTCTATTTTCTCCATTTGTTAATCTGGAAACCTACCACAATTTTAATGGCTATTTTCTGTAGAATTTAATCGGAACACCTCTATTTTTTGCCTCTTTTTTTCTATTGTTTTATCATGGGAAAACCTGTGTTTTCTTCATATTTCGCAAGGAAAACCTGTAAGTTCTGCTATTGTCGTATAAAAACCTGCAGATTCCGTATATTGTGAACAGAAAACCTCTTTTTATTCATATTTGAATATAAAAACCTCTATTTTCTTTCTTTTTAGCTACAAAATTCTTCTTTCGTTTAGGCATGCGGCCACGGACAGGCAGCAGGGAAGAAATAAATGAAGCAAGCAAGGAAGGAATGAAGGAAGGAAGCATTATCTTATCATACTCTTCGACTGTGATGTTACTATGCTGCTATATTGTTATACTATGATTTTTATTGTGATAACAATATAATATCACAACGATGTACGATTATGCGATTGTAGCATTATATTACGACATTCTGGGTGCATCAGTACAGCTTTGAGATGTGCAAGCTTGCTTCGAAATCATATGAACCTTTTTGAAACCCACCATGCAAGCATTGTGTCTGCGAACACGGGGGTTTGTCTGCCCCCCCCCCCCCCCCCCCCGCCCCCCTGCTGTTTTTTGCCGTATATAGAAAATAGAGACTTTCCTATACAGATATAGATAAACTAGAGGAGGTTTTCCTCTTAAAGTATAGAGAAAATAGAGGCCTTGCTGTTAAAGTTTTGGTAACATAGCGGTTTTCCTATTAAAATGAAGGATGGGTTCTTCTATTAACAAAAAGAGAGCATGTGGTTTTCCTACTAAATATAGAGAATAATTAGCTTATGGGACAAGAGCCAAACCCAAACAAACAAAAACAAAACAACAAATTAATTTTCCAGCCACTGAATATTTTAAATTATCTAGATATGAAGGCCCCTCCGGATTTAACTTATTTAACTTTTTATTCCCCCAGGATGGGGCCAGGCCCCCCCCTCCCCTCAGGATTCCAAATTATATACATTATGTAATTGTTGTAATTGTTTATCCTATTTAAATTTTGTACTTCCCGCCCCGAATTACTTAATTTAAGTAATGAAAATATGGAGGGGCCCTAAGTATTCAATTACTTAATTCTGGCTTGAACCCCCTCCAGACCTTAAATAGGGTTTGTTTGGAAGCGTCCTCTTGCTTAAACGGAGGCTTGTATCTCGAGTCAATCCTGCCAGCTTAAGCCTGCTAGAGTCTACCCCGTCAGATTCTAACGAGAGCTTTCTGCAAAAAGAAGCTACGGCAGGCAGAGCCTCGCGATAGCATGTCCAGGCGTGGAAGATCGGAGCCCAGGGCTGCAACTCTTGCTCCTCTCAACTTCTCAAGTTGAGACAAAATGAGACAAGCTAAGACCCCAGAGATCTCCTGGGATACTCCAGAGCCATCCTAATGTGAAGCCGAGTCGCATAACCCCGAGAACTGAGCCGATGACCGAAAGATGAAAACTCAGACAAATTCAATCCCCTCAGTGAGATGCACAAAAGCGGGCTCCTCGGCCTCGTTGAAAGGGCAGGCCATCGCCACTGTGCAGAGCAACTCCTTGGACATGTTAAGGCACTTCTGACACTTGGAGCGGTCTTGAAAAATGGCTGACCTTTTGGTGGTTACACAGGCACACACTTACACCATGACAAAAAGACACACCACATCTGACGCTTGCACATCCAAGCGCACACATCTCTGGAAAAATGGCTGCCGAGGCGCCAGTGCTGTCACGCCCAAGCCGTGTATGTCAAGCCGACGCCTTGCACTCGACTGGATCTCAAAACAGAGAACATGTGTAAGACAGACATAGACGACACAGATGGCCACACATTAGGGATCGGTGAGGTGCCTACGACCGGGCCCCAGGCTGGTATTGCTCGCAAAGATCCGGGCGGTGGTCGAAACCCTCCGGCCCAACCAGATGCATAATCCAGGAGCTGGGCGGCCAGTACCGGCTGTCGCCCCCGATGTATTCTGTCCTTTGGAATTCGGCACAAGGCGAGTTCCGTTCATTTCAATCGCGCCTTTTCGGTTCCGGGTTCCTTGTTGCAGAGGGTTCTGAGCACGGGGGAACACAGGGGGCTGCATGGCTGTATGGGATGCCTTGTTGTGGGCCTCACGAAACGCATACAGTATACTTATACAGATATTATACGTATTGGGATCTGGCAAAACTGCAAGAATGTCGTTGCTCATTGTCAGTGGACTCCCGGTGGATGCGAACTGTCACTCAACTGGGAGCTGATCTGTACATCACGGACGGCTCTAGTTGCTGCCCAAAGACTTTTGGAAGGCCCGAAGCTTTTGACCCGTACCTTGGACCCCAACTAACGCTCCAAACCTCATGCTGTCCAAACGATGGGACAACATTCCCTCAAAACAAGAGCAGCCCGTGCGTCGGACCAAGGGCGTTTCATCTGGAGGGGTTCCTTTTTTTGATTGGGGTCTGGGGCGCTTCTGACTATGGGCTTTTGCGTTTTTCGACTCAAGCGAGGTGACCCAGGAGCAAGTTTCCTGACTTCACACCCTCTCGTGCTTCGGGACCCCCGATGGTCGCCTGTGAAGCACTCGAATTCTCATCCTTGTAGGCTAGTCTTTATCAGATATTCCGATTTTTCCTGAAGGCCTTAGACCAAAACAGCTTTGGGCCTTTCCTATAACCCTTCACCTTCTAACCCGCTAACAGCTCTACAGAGAATCCTGCAGGTCTTTCAGCCCAGGCTCAAACCTTCAACCCCCTTAAAAACATAAGCCTCATGTTCCTCGATAAGTAGCCCGAAAATCCGCCGATTCCGTGAGGCCCCAGGAGTCTTAGGGGCGTCTCCACCTAGGGTTTGCCACTGTTTGCCACCCCTTTCTTTCGTGTAGTTTGACTGACTTTGGGCCTCGGCCGAGGCATGCCACGCAGCGATGAAATTCTGTGGCGTGGCAATGCGTGGCAGTGAGTAGCTTCTTATTCTTGCCTGGCGTCCTCCACTTGCCCTTCTCCGAGACCCAACTTTGGGAGTCCACGGCCAAGCCAAAATCGATGAGCCAGAACGAAGCGGAAGAATTCTCAGCATCGCCCTGAGCACCATCGATCCCACCATCGATCAGAATGTTGTGGGAATTCACGTCCTCAAGATTGAACAGACAGAAAATTTCTAGAGTAGGTCCTTTTACGGGTCCTTATGACAGCAGCATGGTGCGACTTGCTGTAACACATACTGTAACAGAAAGATACAGTGCGGGAGCGGCGGTCGCCAACTGTTCATGTATCCTGACGAGACTTGTCACAACCGCCTGATACTTAAGATTGGGGCTACGAAAGCTAGACTAACGCCGGACGGCGAAGCAATGCATTTTCGAGGGATGAATGAGAAGTGCGGATGCGGTCAGCGCAGCTGAAAATTTTGACTTGAAGCAAGCCTCTGACAAATCGAAGTCAGGAGCCCGCAAGGGGGGGGGGGGAGGGGCTTGTAAACGACAACTCTCGCAAGCTCCAAGGAGCTAGCTTTCGTGGCTTGCAGAAGCCCTCAGTTGGCTTCGCGGCGGCACTTAGGTTTGGGCTGTCATTGCTTCTGCGGCCCAAGACTCTCGATGCCAAGCGATCGGGCCCAGGAGCTGGAGGGCCGGGCCAATGTCTCGCAAGAGGGAAGATACCAGACCTTTTGCTTCGCTGTGCTGTGCTGTGCTGTGCACGTCCCATGGTGGCGAAGCTCCCGACTCCCCAAGCGTTCCAATCCAAGGGACTTAGCGCTCTGCGCAGGCCGGCCAAGACTGTGCAACCGGGAGGAGGATTTTGCCTGCCGCAACAAGCTGCAACAAGCTCAACAAGCAGCCAGATTAGTCACAAGGTTTGCCCTCGGAGCGACCCGTCCAGGCCTCAAGTAGTAGTCCAGAGACTGGCCCGGTACCAGCGTCATCGCCGTCCGCACTTTCCAACCACCCGAACATACGTTCACCTCGAACAGCGGTGGATGAAACCCTCAGCTTCGCCATGCACGCTTCCCTTGTTCAAGTATGAAAACCTCGAATTTCAATCATTCAATTTTTTTAAGGATAAAAGAACCCCACTGCAATCACCATCCAACCTTGTAGGCGATGCAGCGCGGCACCCTCAGCTGTCGGTGCGGCGCGGCGCGCTCCAACGCAAGGAGCACCTGCACCTCGAAAACGGCCTCGGCATTGCATGATCTGTATCATTTTGTGTGTGTGTGCGTGCCAGCAGTGTGCTACAGCTGACAAGGACACAGTGACACAGTTTGTTGATCCAGCCTGTCGCAGCTCGCTCTGGCTACGGCATAGCACCTCCTTCAAAGCCACCTCTGACGGCTCCGAATGACCCTTTGCACCAAGCACCTCGCCGGAAAAGTGGGGCATGGTTGGGGGCGCGACCCACACGAGCAAGGTCGCACGACCCACACAGGCAAGGTTGCGCGACCCACACAGCAACACCCAAATAGCCGCACATAGTACATAAATCTGGCCTGGGCCCTCCAGACCTCGCCGTAAGAGCCCCGGCCAAGGACATCGCTGCAACGAAAGCGGCAATTTCCAATCTCTACCTTGTCCAGGGCAAAGAACTGAGTGTAACACAAATGTCCGTCTCGTTCTTAGCTTGCTCCCACAGGCTGGGTTTATGAAGACACCCAGAGCATCTCATGCCCAGACTTACCCCTGCAGAACCCCGTTGACAAAAAGCATCCATGTCATGAAATTAGGCTGCTTCATGGTGCTTCGATGTGGTGCGAATTTGTGGAATTTATAGGAATTTATCGTGGAAGATCGTGGAAGTGTAGTTGATTCGGAGATGTTGGGAAGCTGAGGCTTGAGGCATCGTGTCTTGAAATTGAAATGTCAGGGGTATCAAGGCGCCCTGCTTCAGCAACTGTGTTCTTGTGATCTTTGTGTGCAGGGTCATGGCAAAACAACAAGCCCCTGGGGTGAGGATCGAATCCAAGGCGAAACCTGCGATGGTTTACGAGTCGCGGGTGCAGTAAAGCTTGCACAGGAAGAGTTGGGGCGCCACTGTTTTTGAGCTTCTTCTCTTCGACGCACTCCAGGAGTGCGTCAAGGCGAAGCGGCTACGCACACTTGCAGCAAAAAAGTTGTCCCCCTTAGCTTTGGAAATGCCCCTTGCCTCGGCACCAGCGCTGTAGACGTCCTGCGGCGAAGCTTCTTTGGGGGGCACCCTTTGCTTCCTTTTGCTTGCCTTTTGCCCCCTGCCGTCCTCATCCAAAAGTTGGCTCGCACTGCTGACACTTCCTGGCATACAGGGCAGGCATCGAGGCAGCGAAAGGGACCGGCAATGGAGTGCACAGCCACCGCCTGGTTCTGACTTGCCATGCACGGTCTGCGGGAAATGCGGGAAGCAGTGCGTTTGGCAAGGCACAGGTCGAGGTGCCTCACTCGCCTCGGCCGAAAGACTCTCAGCGAACTGTGATTTGAGAGCGCTTGAGTTACTTGAGGTCTACACCACATAAACGGGAGCCGATGTGACAAAGGTGTTGCCGATATTGCTGACCACGCTGTGCGCGCCTGCCCAAACTTTTGCAACAGACGGAAATCTGCCGAGGTCTCAAGCCGTAGGCGTTGGAAAACATAGAACAGGTACCCACCCACCAATCCCGCGAGCAGACGGTGCATCAGGTTCAAGGGCATTTGGGGCCGGCCATAGGGCAGCCAGCAAATCCTCCACCACCTACCCGCCCCCGTCCTCCACGGCTCGTCTCTTTTTACGACGACACAATTCATCACATGGTTCATCCCATCCATCATCCCACACATCATCCCAAACATTCCACAGCATCTCGGCTCCGGTGACGCGGCAGCGATGCGGCGCAGACGCTGGACCTGTCAACAGGCATGGCCCATGCGTTTGATCTGCAGTCTCTCATGCGACCTGTCCTCCTTCCGCGCAAGCGCTTCCCAACATGCTCTTGCCTGCCCATACACACGAGACCCCATGGGAAGGGCCTTGTTTCACGCTCGCAAAAATTGGAGCCCATGCCCTGCGAGGACATGCGCCAGCGCAACTTTGCGACATGCCTCCCACACCCTATAGCGCGATTTTGAGCAGGCGCGGCGGGTCCCACTAACCCTACCCTGCGCGTTAGAACAGAGTGAAAATTTAATCCCAGCAATCCATCACACCATCCATCCACGCATCATCCATCACGAGTTCCATCCATGCATCAACGATAAGGAAGAACCTTCCAGACGACCACCTCCGCTGAAAAACGCTCGCCACGCTTTCGGGAGAAAAACAAAATAACTCAAAACACAACAACCACCAGAAAAGAACCCCCCCCCCACCCCAACCCCCAACGAGGACAGACAGGAGCGGGATGCGAGCTGGCTTCGGGCCAAAGTCAGGGACCTCCACAAAATGACATAGTCAGCAAGAAAACCACATTAAAACGCACCGCTGCATTGACATGTAGCAAATTCTAGCAACCAATCAACTTCGAGATACTTCGGGCAACTCAAAATCCTCGGATTTGGCATGTCTGCACGAGCGCTTGACACAGCCACCGTACGCGTTGCAAATTTTTGAGGAATGTTGAGGACAAGGACATAATTACTGGGCGCCTGGGGAAACACTTCTATGCGTCACCACATGGTGGCCAGGCAGTACCATGGCGAAGCTCGAGGCTGCTCTCAGCTGGTGTCTGTCCTTACAATCCTCAAGTTAGACTGAGCTAGAGGTGGCGCTCCGTGTATCTCAATGTGTATCTGTGGCCACTCCAACCAAGCGCCGGCCAAACGCCAACCAACCGATATGCATAGGCTGCATAGATGTCAGTCTTCGCAGCAAAGAACGACGAAAACGTACAGACGTCTACGCATGTGGATGGGAGGGTGTGGAGTGGATGGGTGGGTGGGTGGGTGGGTGTATGTGTGTGGCATCTCTCTATGGATGTCGGCTACTGCTAAAAATGCAGATGCTGCGGTCAGCATGCAACACTGAGCTGCAGTCCAATCGAGACCGCTCTTGCCAACAGATGTTCTTGATTTGAGTGTGCCGTGCAGATGCCATGCAGACTTACATGCCGGTCCACAGGGCAGATCTCCACGTCACAGGCCCGCCACTCTTGGCTGCTGCCTTCGCAGGCAACACCTGTCATTCGAACAGATGAGATGATTCATTCACAATGCACATGAATGCACCGGTGCATTGTTCCTGGCATGGGCTGAACGAACAGCAAGGTTTCAGAACAGCGAACACAAGTCTCTGTGACAGCGTTGGCATCTTTTCAAGGACGAAGGTGGGGCCTCCGTACTGCGCGGATACGACCTGTGCAGAACAGTGCAGAGCAGTGCAGAGCAGTGCAGAGCGGTGCAGGGCAGTGCAGAGCAACACCCAGTATCTGCATGCATCCTGCTGAGAGTGTTTGCCCGTGCTGCACAGCACGTGCAGCTTCCCCAAGCCTCCACGCGCGTTCTGTCTTGAGTTCCCCTGAACAGGTTTCGTGCATTTTCTGAAGTAAGCTCAATGAGCCACGAATGGTGTGCAGCTGCAAACACGCAGGCGCCACTCTCCGCAAGTGACGCTGCAGCCATTCCACGGTAGCCAATCCTGGAATTTGTTTGCAGTCGGCACACGCAGCCACCAATCATCACCCATCTGATGCACATACTTCATTATGTTTATCAAAAGTGCCGCTATGCAGAGGGCCCGACACCCCAAAGGCAATCGACGGGACAGTCCAGTGGCGCACACATGTCCTCCTGGACAGGGTTAGTCAGAAGGTTGGCGGGGCATCTGGGATGCGCAGCTCGAAACGAAGAGGTTTTTGAGTTGGATTTTGGAGCTAAACTCAAGGGACCGACATGAAAACCCCAGCCCGTTTACTTCTCGCCACTGTGCTTGTTTGACCCCGTCCAACATGCAAGTTTACTCTTAACTAACGATTGGTCTCCAAGTGCAGAGTCTTCAGAGTCTCCCGATATTTCCCATTTGCTAATCCCGGCATCGGCCTTGGCCTGTTGCAGTTCCTCCGGACAAGGCATGCCCTCGCCCTCCGCCTGGGCTTCAATCGCGTTGGATATCGTTGACACGTTCGCACACTCCCCATCAACATCATCGCCCATTCCCATGGCCGCTCCTGCTTCAGAATTCCACGAGACCTGCCAAAGTGACATGCAAAGCAAAACTACTGCCAAGCCGTGTTCAAACGCATGCGTGCGGGTCCGACATGCAATGCCTGTGCTGAGTGCCACCGGAACAGGTTTTTGAGCACTCGGACCAATCCGTCCAGGACTCAGTGAGTCGACTAAGCAAATGAGACTGCAAATACTCAAATGCGGAGAGGCAGCACTGTAGCACACATGCACGCCAGTCTTAGACGGCAGCCGAGACTTGGCAATCAATGCAGGTGTTGTTGCAGCTTACCTCCTGGACCCACATCTCAACAGCTCAGACTGCTCCAGCCCAGCAACACCAAAAATGCCGACCTACGCCATCCCTGCCCTACGCCTGCCCTATACCTGCCTTGGCCCTTATCTGTCCCGACCTTTGCGCGACCCCATCCCCGAAGTCCTCAGCTGTAACGCCACAGGCAGCCCCTCCCGCAAAGGGCTGGGTGACAATAGAACGGCTCCTCGCATCTTTGGCGTAAAGCACGGTACTACACACGACTCTTCCATGTCTTTGAAACATTGTTGAATGTCTGTCATCTTCTGCAGGGTCCCGGGTACCTCTAAACTATGAGAGATAGGCTGGAAGAGCCATTTGCAATTGTGCAACAGCCCCAACGGATCCTCTGCTGTGTGCCACTGCAGTATGGGGTACAAGGTGTCCAGCCATCCCAGTCCGTTAGCTCGCAGTCAACCGGGCATGCAATCCTGGTCAGCTGGCATACCATGTCGACCCCTTTTTGACAAGGCAAAGCAAGGCTTGGTAAATGAACACTGCCATGGCACTTGTCGGCGCAGACACCAACCTGAACATGCTCACGCTGGGTTAGCACTTCCAAGAAGAAGTGAACATCAGATCCCCGCCTCTGTGCGATTGCCACTACAGGTTTTGCCACCACCGTCCACGGGCACCTGTAAATACAGCGTAGGTGGATGCCAGGCATCCATGGGGCCAGTAGGAATGGATGGGCCGGGAAAATCGCACGGAAACCACGCCGAACCTAAAAACCCAGAGTGTTGTGTGACGCTAGGAAGCTCGAGGTGGCTTAAACGGGACCACCAAAAAAAAGTACCAAAACAAAGATTTAAAGATTAAAAAAAAAAAACGCACTAAAAAATTAGGCCCTCCGGCTTCAACCCCGAAGAAAGTCTCCGACAGTCCTGCAGTTTCCTGACTCAGGCCTCTCTGATGCCTATCTCAGCCCTCCACTCTTCTGTTTCGACTCACTGCATAGAAGAAAAAGCCCGTTGACCATTTGGTTTTCCTTCTCCTTTTGCACGCGAAAGAACAAACACAAAGTCAAAAGCAAAGAAAGAGGGATACGCTAACCTGTCAGAAGGTGTAAGCAACTCCCTGTCAGAACCTCCTCAGACCGCTAATTCGTCTCAGATTGGCACTGCAACCTCTCGTTGGCGTGTATGCGTGCCACCGTTGCATGACCTTGAGCAAGCGTGACCAAGTGTCAAGTATCTGCAACTAAAGCTATGTGCTGTTGCCATGTTTCTGCCCTTTCAATGCTCGATTCCGCAGGAATCTTGGCTCGCAACGCAGTGCAGTTGCTCCACTCCGACCACGTGCCCCATTCGCAATCCACGCCTTAGCATCAGGGACTGATGATGTGAAACGTTCTCTGAGAGCTCTCCAGGACAGCTCAAGACATTTTGCGGATGAGTCACAAACATTCGTGCAGTTGTTGACCTGAGCCTTTAGTGAGCAAGGTAGACCACCGTTCTGCGGCTCTCTGGTGATGTTGCGCGTCCTTCCAACCAGGTAGAGAAGCCATCGTCACAGATTCGAGATCATTCCATCATATACTCCGTATCAGCTCTGGGAAGTGGAAGGAAGGGGGGGGGGGGGGGGCCGCTATATATATATATATATATACTACAATGACTAGAAGAGTCCTGTTTGTCAGGCCAGAGCAGAACGGCTCACAAGTCGACCACTCCGTCCACTCAGTGTACTCGCAGTCCAGGGGGCAGTTCTCAATATTGCAATCCTGGCAATTGAGACGCTTGAGCCGCTTGAGTCGCTTCAGCCCCGACAATTCAGCCATATTCAGTGCATCAAGTACTAGTCTATGCACCCATTCACCAAAATGACTGAACTCGGGAAGACTTGGAGCGAACTGCAAGCTTTAAAGCCTCGCCTCCTTCTGAGCAATGTTGCCCTCACAGGCTTCTCCTTCTCCAATCTCCTAGCCGAGCTTGTCAAGATGGACACGAGTCCACAGCAACCCTAAGAGAAGCGCTGATTGCAGCATCCCTGATTTCTTGCGTTCGTATCCGGGACGGCACAACTCATGAACAGAACCTGCTCAGCAATTTGGGTTCAAGCTTGGTTAACCTACTTCGTCCTGAGGGTTATTATTGGGCGAGGAAATAGTTCAACCCTGTATTTGTAGGGTTTCCTAAAAAAAACACAGAGGAAATAGAGGTTTCCTATAAAAGTACAACGGAAACCCCTGCAATCTCAAGCATACATGAAATTGTTGTAAACCCACCATGCGAGCATTGTGCTTGCAGATCCGGGGGGGGGGGGCTGCGCAACCCCCGGTTGTTTTTGCCATGCAATCTTGCTTCAAAGCATCTATGTCTTTGTTCGCACCCCGCATCCCCCCCCCCCCCAAGCCCCCGTGCTTTATTTCACAGCATATATGAATCTTATTGAAACCCATCACGCGAGCATTGTGATTGCAAACGGGGGGGGGGGGGGGGTTGTGCTGTGCCCCCCCTCCCCCCAACCCCCTCTTTTTTCAAGTGCAAGCCAGCTTCAAAGCAGACGAATCATATCTTTTTGAAACCCCATCATGCTCGCATTGTCTGCCCTGCTTTTGGAAGCCGTGGAAGCTGGCTTCTTTGTTCCAGACGCCTCTCGCGGGCGGGGGGGGGAAACGGCGAATGTACCTGAAAAGCAGACGTCATGGGTATAGTTGCTGTAAATTTTGTTTTAGGTACGGGAAGTCTCATGAAGATACAGCCTGAATGGACATAATGTCTAATTTGGACTAGAGCCCCATTTCGTACAGACAGGTGCTATCATCGTTTGTCAGATATTGAGTTTTACTGTCGAAGTCCCCATAAAATGATACCCGCTACATCTTTTGTTATATTAAATCTATTCCTGACTACTGAATGTTGCGTCTCACCCCGAGAGAAGCCCGCAGAGAGTCCCGCCGAGTATCGCTGTGGTGCCCACTCGAGTGCCGCAGTCCCGCGCGCCCGTCTCAGAGAAGCACCCAATTGGGCCAGGACTCAACATGCCCGGCCCGTGTCTCGGGGCCGTCGGAGGCGGCGCGACTTCAAACTTGCCATCCAGTAACATCAGAACCAAAAAGTGTTTGTTGTGTCGGCTGTGCTTTGATCCCCATGTCCTTCTTGATGTACGAGCAAGAGCCCTCCTCTGCTTCTAAGACGAAGCCAGCATCACAAATTGACCAGAAGTTGGTGCAGCCTGGTCAACTCAATGCGGAACCTATGTGAGATAATGTGAGACTTTGCGAAGATCTTCCCCTGACTTGGCTCCCACATGCTCTCACAACTGCGAAGATCCGAGGTTTTGAGGTCATGAAGAAACACTTGAAAGGCTTGTAACCTTCCCGATGAAAACACTCATGGCATGAGTGTCAATTATTGTCGACAGCCGCGTGCTGTCTTTGCAACCATACGTGGGTTAAGACAAGTTCGGCCTGCCTTTGTCATAAAGAGCTCCACAAGAGGCATCTCCGCTGCAAGACGCCTCAGAGTTTGGCCCATAACTAGGCAAGCCGGGAGGGACAGGCCAGGCAAAACACACGTGCACTCAGAGGATCTTCCAAATACTTGGCCAATCTTGGTTATCGATGCGCGTGTCCGGTGCGCATCTGGGCCCCCTTTCCAAGCCTGGGCCGTCAGCGGCGGCTGCCCGGCCACGCCAAGCTCGCGCTGGTGGGCCTGTCGCAGGAAGATTTGTGGGGACCTGTTCCATTGTTCAATGGCAGGCTTGCACGTTGCACTCTGCTGGCACGCTCGCGCTGCAGATCGCTGCAGGGCTGTAGAACTTGCAAGCGATGAGGAGGGTGTTCAAGCCAGTCATTAGAGTCATTACCTCCACATGTCTGCACTAACGGCAGATGTCAGCCTCGTCACACTTGACGCCCATCTTCTTCTCGTAGCCGAGGGCCTTCCACGAGAATCTGTTTAAACATTTCTCTCGAGCAGTCTGAAGTGCAGACATTGGCTCCCTTACAGGCCCACCTGCATGTCGACTTCAAGCAGAGAAAGGCCGGCAGAACTCTGATTCCTGGTGCAGTTTGTGCTTCCCCACACTAGCTTTCCACTCTTCACCATCTGAAGCCTAAACCTACAGCCAGAGCAAGCCACTCGATCCTACTGACGTAGGTCTCGGTGCGAAGGCGCTGTCGACGGCCACCGCCACAGGAGGCACTGCAGTCGCCCCACTCCTCGCAATCTGTGCACGCTGAGATCGAAGAGATACGACTGCAACAAGGCCAAGGCCTCCCAACCGGAGAGCACACAGTCCATGCAAAGGTTGGCACACCTGCTGTGGAGCGACATGAAGAGCTCTGTTGTGAACACTCTCAATCCCTGTGAAGCGTCATTCGAGGCTTCTACAGCTGCGCTACTGCTGCCATACCAGTGCCGACAAGAAGCTTGCGCTGCTCGGCCAGGTCACCACAAAGGGCACCGCCGAACCTGCCAAGCAACATGCGCACATGTGCACATTCACTTGATGTGTGGTCTGTGTGGTACGCATCATGTGGCCACATCGCATCTTTCAAGCATTCCCGCCAGCCTGGGTTGGGACAAGATCTTGCGGCTTCGGTTCTGCTCACCCAAGCAATGCGGCTGGCAGCTCGACCAGGCCGTCCAATCACTGAGTTGGCAATCCACCGGGCAGTTCAAATCTGCACATATCTGTGTCTCCGTGCCATTGCCGACACACTCCTCACCTCTGCAAGAGAAGAGCCAAGACTGCAGAGACCCCTGAACCCAGCCACATGACCATCAACACGCCAGTATTGCGTCACATATGTGAAGGCCGGGTGCATCTTACAGGCGCTTTAAAGGCTGCCCTCTCTCTCAGAGCACACTCTCACAAACTCTCAGTGAGAGCACTCTCTCACAGAGCACTCTCTTTCTCGCAGAGCACTCTCTCACGGAGCACTCCTCGGCCATCCTTGGGCACAGCCACAGCCCGGCTTCGCATCTGGCTCCCACCACCGCAGGAAGCGCTGCAGTCGCTCCAGGTGGACCAGTCAGCCCACCTCAGGGGGATCCGAAAGTTCAGACTCCTTTCCTGTGGTGCTATGCAGTGCTGTGCCCCACGAGATCCACGAGCCTGCAGTTTACGCAGTAGTTGCTGCATTCTCTGGACTCTGCCGTCGCAAAGCACGGTTTGCCACCCTCCTCCTCTTCAAGGATGATGGCCCGGTTTCGGGCTTGCGTCCCGTTGCACCACGGCTCACACACTGTCCAAGCACTCCAGTCACCATACCTCAGGTGACTGACCAACAGCCTGCCATTGCCTGATATCGCCTCCACCAACCCGCACAAGCAGCAAAATGCGAATCCACGCAAAATCCACACAACAACTGAACGATCGGCAGCGCGATGTGCGGACGAGAGTCTGACAGTCCCGGGGGCACACTTTGGTGTTGCACTGCTCAACCTGTAGCTTGTCCACCTGGAGAAATAGCAACTGTCCCGGCTGGAAGCGCGACTAGCAAGCTGCAAATATGGTTCAAAAGCCTTAAAAACCCCTAAACCCGAAAAACCCGAAACCCCAAATCCTAAAAACCCTAGAAACCTAGGCAAGCCCTGAAACCTTAAGAACTTCAACTAAAGCCTAAACCCCAAAAACTCTAGCCCTAAAACCCCACGGTTTTCCTGTAGCGAGTGTGGAAAATATCACATTAAAACATGAGCACAAAAATTGAACGTAAAGGAAATACATAGCATTCGCATCTATTAGTCTAGCATCAGAAGCATGGTGTACCAAGTATTCAAAAACAAACGCCGGAGGTAGTTAAGTTCACGAGGATATGATGAACACGCCTCAAGACCCTGAATGTCTTCGGGTCAGTCACGTCCTACATTTACCCTCAACAGTGCTGCCGTGGCTAGCCACAAACGCTAAACTTGCTGATAAACGCGGTGGCAAGGCTGCCAGAACCACCTGACTGGGTGTCTGAGCCGAGGTGACGGGGGCAAAGAAGAGGGCCAAACCCTAAACCCAGAAGAAGCTGGCCAAGAAGGAGCAACAGGGCTGACAGGGGCAGAATGGCGAAACGTACTCGAGGGTCTTGGCATGTGCAGGCTAGGCTTCGGTAGAAGAAAATGGTTTGCCGCAGGTAGGCGGGATGCCGACGCACAAGCAAAACAGCGAGGAACCGTAAGTCGAAGAGGGGTATCACTTTGACACTGCAAGCAAAAGGGGTGTAATAGATGTGCTATGATGTGCTTCCTGGGCTGGCGTTTGACGCCTGCCTCGTCACAGGCAGATCCACCTCCCATCTCCAGCTTCGACCGGCTGCACGAGCCTGGAATCTTGAGATGATGAAGTTGACTCACGTAGGACCGCGGCTCATGACCGACCAACAACAGTCAACAATTTCAACAACGGCCTGCTTCTTCGTGGAGGCTGAAGCCGATGTTGCACAGCACCACAGTTCCGTCGCAACCTTCATCATACACTCCTGGGCCATTTGTTGACAGTACTGGACAGACTTTCAAGGTATGAAACAAAGCATTACACGCTCCTCCACACGTTGGGTCAGCATCGCACCGTTCCTTCGCAGCAGCAAAGACCATCGTCCCTTCACGGCGGCCTAAGGCAAAAGCACAACTCCGTGCGGAGGACCCTCCGTGTCTGTGAGATTTCTTCTTCCGACGTATGTCAACCTAAACAATCATTCTGGAAAGATGAACACAAAGCCTTGGGCGAGGGGCTTGCAGCATCACACCGCACGTTCATCTGCAACTCATAGCCGAAGACTCGGTCCATCTCGACATCTGTAGAAATCGGACCTGAAATATGAGAAGAGCTCACAGGTGCACATGGGTCTTTGGGAACTTGTTCGGGTTTTGCTGCCCTCTTTCCCTGTGCTTTGTGCTTTGCGCGGCCTGAACGATTGGTGCGAAGGACGAAGAGCTGATCTCTGCTTCGGCTCTTGGTCCCATTTCCACAGGTCGCTGTGCACGTAGAGAACGGTGTCCAGTCCAGCCAACCACAGTCTCTGCCTCACATCTTGCAACACTGCTGCAGCGCTTCAGCGCAGCGTGAAGCACAACGTGACTCACAAGCACAAGGGAAACTCTCGAGAACGTTTTTCCCAAACAAAAAGTTGTATAGACAACAACGACATAAGCTGCCTCTTGTTGTGGATCACCCATCCTAGGTGTAGGTGAGGCTTCGGACCCATGGCCCTCCTTCCTCAATAAATGAGGGGCTTCCTTGAAGCCTAGAAGCTCGAACCCCCGCCCCCCAAACTGTCCGACAGAAGGCGCTGCTCCTGCTTCTGAAGGCGATGCGAAAACAAATTGAGCAGACGCAGGGTAAATCTAAGTCTCGACCGCGGGCTTGTATTATTGGCATAGGCAAGGAGATCAGAGCTGGATGACGAGATACGCAAAAGGCAACTTCCCACCCATGCGCAAGGAGAGGTGTCCCTGTCAGAGTTCTTCCAACACTGTCCAATCAACGTCTCGACGTTGGGCGAAACCTTTTTGTAACTTGCTGCCCTCGGGGCGGAAATTCCTGTCTTCCCGACATTGTCAGACCCGTCACACAGATGTTATGGGCTCGCTCTTGCTGGTGCGAGAAGTGGAGCTGGCTGCCATACGCAGAAGAAGCATGCTCTTGAGGGGGGAACAGAAGTTGGGGAGAGAAATGAAGATGCACACAAAAAAAAATATATATATATATATATATATGTTTTGTTTATTCATGTATTCGTTTATTTAAATACATATATATATATATATGGGCGTGCACATTTGCTACTATATAATCAAAATATAAGCGTCTGACAACGTAACAGCGTATTCTAAATCTTCGTTGGGCCGCACAAGTTGGAGCACTGCCGGATCTGCTTCGTCACGCCACCAGTGAAGTCAGGCTCTGAAGCCGCCAAAGAGTTGCAGGATTTGCCTCCGAAGGAGGCCTTGCGGGTCACGTTTCGTTGCCGCGTCTGTGAGCCTTGGCGAAAGGCAGCCATGAAGTGCCATGAAGTGCCGCCTTGTAGGTGGGTCTGCTGTGACTGGCTCCAGCAAGTGAAGCAAACAAAGCGCGCCGGTCCTTCACAGTACGGCTCACAGCCTGTCCAAGCAGTCCAGGTTGAGAGCTCACAGTCCACAGGGCACTCCTGACCCATTCTATGCAAGTGTGTGCGAACGCATGCGATGGAAATGGAATGATGAGAGAAAAGGCAAAAGTGGGCCGCTTTGCTAGTCCTGCTCGCTGCAGGTCTTTGTTTCCTGGTCGCTGCCGGTGCACTCTTGGCCACCCCCTTGCTTTGGCGTTGCGATGGAGCGGCTCCTCTGTGCCTCTCGAAAAAATCGAGAGGAACAGAAACCGCACATTCGCATCTCACTCTAAAGAAATCTGCACTAATTGCTTACACTTATGCTGCGCGAAGGACACTCAAAGGCTCTGAGGCGCTGACGGAACCGCCTCCGCAAGACACTGTGCATGGTGGCCAGGCGGTCCAGTCCGTCCAAGCACAGTCGACACAGAAGTTGCTACATCTCTGGTCCTCCATCACAGGGCCCTCACAGGGCCGTCACAGGGCATAGGAATGCCAAGCACAAAAGCAGTCCTCCAAGGTTGGACCACATGGAATACCACCGAAGGCAGCATGAGTTGTGATATTTCTTTCTCGCTTTTGCGTCCCGTTGCAGAAAGGATCGCAGGCAGACCAGTCCTTGGAAGTGGTGGATGTGGCGGGATTCAGCGGTGGACTCAGGGACTTAGGGCAGGAAATCAGCAAGCTCTTCAGAAATCGCACCCTGAAGCCAAGCTTCGGTCCAGTCCGTCATTACGCAGTCCACTGGACACATCTGCTCATTACATGTCATGGTCTCACTGATGTTGCCCTGGCACGGCTCGCCCCGTCCGATCTCCTTCCAAAGAATTGCCGGGTGAAAACAGATGTCTAAATGTCGGCAACACACTGACACGCTCGGGGTCCTTCTTCAGGTAAGAGCATGAACCTTCCTCACTTTCAAGAGTGAAGTTCGTGTTGCAGAGTGTCACCCAGTTGTCGCAACCGTGATCATAAAGACCTGCCGCTGCTGTGGATGAGGCGCTGTGCTACCAAAGGAAAACAAGCTCGCAAAGTGTACTGGCAAAACAAGCGAGCGTAAAACAAACTTGTTCAGTTGATGGCACCACGCTGTACGTCAATCACCCCTGGGCTCGCCTCCACAAGTGGGGTCAGCACTGCACAACGCTTCCGCTTCCTGCAAACAAAAAGCGAGGCACATGAAGAAAAATGATCAAGACCAGCATCTCAGTCGCTCTCTGTCCTGAGGAGTGCCCACGCCGTCAGCACTTCGCTGGTGCTTTGGGTCACACCTGCGAGCGACATGCTGTGATCGCCCTCACTTGAAAGATGCTCAATCAACAGGTGAAAACAGTTGGCGCAAATTAGGTGCACGACTTAACCGGCAGCTGCACTCCACAAACAAATCTCTACGCGGAACTGTGCAGCCGTCAACACCTGGCATTCCAGAAACAGTAGCAATCTGGGAGCACCTCACACCCATCTTCTTTTGGTAGCCCCAAGCTCCTGCCAGCAAGCCCGTTGCAAACTCCATGGAGAATCTGCACTTACACTTCAGGGGCTCCAAAAGGCAAATCGAGTCCTGTGGAAGATCTGGAGCCTGCCTTTGCTTGTAGCTGGATGAAGCCTGAAGTGCTTGACAGAGCTAAACACTGGTGCTAGCAATGGTTGTGTGTGCACGCTGGGTGATTTTGAGGGCCGGGGCGGCCAGCACGGGCGGGGCGCGCGGGACGTGCACGCGCGCACCCCGACATGGGAAACACTCCCCTACAAAGCAGAAAGCCGACAAACCTGATAAACAAACTCCAATCCGAAACTACTAACGACACCTGCAGCCCTAGCCCTCCAGGTTGGGGCATCTGAAACTTGGGCTTAAGGGTGTAGAGATGTGTAGAGTTAAGGGTTCTTAAGGGTTTAGGAGCTTAGGGGCAAAATTCACACTTCCACGTGGAAGATGATGCTCGTTGTTGGAGTGCCGAGGAAAACCGGAGGTCAGCGGCACCGGCACCGGCCCATAGCAAAGCCCGGGCACTAGTGCCAGCGTGCCCTCGGGCGCTGACATCACAGGGTTTTGCCGGGCATGACTGGCAGTGCCCACCTGACACCACAAAAACAGCGCAGGGCTTGGCCTCCAAGCCCTGCGCAACCTCTGCACAACCTCTGCAAAACGCTTGCAAAGTGCAGTATTTCCAGGTGCTTGGCAGCTCCGAAGGCTTGGATTTGGTGGACTCTTGGCTCTGATGTTGAAGGTTGGGTTGAGTCATTTGAGTCACTGCGTGCCGATGCAGAGGTGTGCTCCGCTGCGTTAGCGGGCTTCGCTTCTGTTTTGAGGGGATTGCGGAGACTGCGCTGCAGCGCATTCAATAAGCATGAACATTCATGAACAATATTCGACCTACTTGTGCAAACACACACACACACACACACACTAAACCAACCGCCACCCACTTCAGTCAGTTCTGGGCACCCTCCGCCAAGCACGGCACCCAAGTTTCTGAGCCAAGAAGCTGCTGGGCATCCGTTGCACATACCTAGCGGAGGTTCGAGCAAGGCACGCAAAGCACTTCCAACGTGCAAGCCAAAGGAAAGATAGGAAAGGCATTAGAAGTCAACCGAGCTGCACTTCATCCCGCAAGCGGTACTGGCTTCCACCAGCGCATGTCTTGCTGCAGCTAGCCCAGGTTGTCCAGTCAGACAGCTGGCAATCCATGCAGAAGTTGGTGCAACCTTGTGAAACATGGCACGATTTCCCCCAATCGTTCCTAACCGTTCCCATAACCATTACCCATCTGAAGTCTTGATGCCTTCGAAGGCATTCTCCCTCCCAAGCCCGAAGTTAGGCCTCGGATCTACTTCAGAAAACCCTTACCTTAATGGACCGTACAGGAAGATCAGGAAGGAAAGGAATGGATAAGAATGGGGATGTCTGAGCCCGGCGACGCTGCGTCTCAGAGATGTTCCCACATGTCACGCCGCCGAACTCCGGTTCTGTGACAACACTGCGGTTCCGGCTCTGGGTTCCGATGCCTGCAGCAGGGCCGGCAGAAAAGTGGGGGAACTTCTGGGAGTTGTGAGGATACTGCACAAGCCCAAACTATGAATCGGCCGGGTCGCAGTAGGGATCGCAATCCGACCATTTGCTCCAGTCGGCCAAGACGCAATCTATGGGGCAACTCTGCTCGTTGCAAGCCTGTGTCTCGTTCAAGGGTCCTGGCAGGAATTCATGCACAAATGTCAAGTCGATTTATTCTATTGATAGTACGAGCTTCGTAAAGTAGGAGAGCTTGATCGTCAACATGCTGGCACTCGACTCACAGAGAGAGAGAGAGAGAGAGAGACAGAGAGCGAGAGAGAGAGAGAGAGAGATAGATCGGGTGTGTGGCACTTGCTGTGGCACATTCCCAAAGTCTGACAGCTTGAGCAAACTACCCAGAATTCAACCCCCGCTCCCCATCCTGTGCAATCTTCAGCCTCGCCCACCTTTGGACGTGCAACGTATCGGCTGCCTTGTGATGCAGTGACGCCCTTGACTGAAAACATCCAAACAGGCTTTAATGAAAGTCTCAAGCTCCCAAGGCCCTACACGAGATATCAACACGGCGGCAACACGGCTCATCCTATGTCTACAACTGTCATCATGACAATGGCAGGATCTATTTAGTGCATATATGTAGTATTCTTACCCTCTATGACAGACTTCCACGTTGCACGGATTGGTACACCATCAGTAACCACAGTATATTGTTCAAACGATCTGTGTATGTTTAGATGTTTAGTTTGTTTGGGTCCAGACAAACCTTGAAACGCGAGAGTGGTGAAACCTGATAACCATTGGCTCTCTCTCTCTCTCTCTCTCTCTCTCTCTGAGGAAATGGACCACAAACAAGAGGACTGAATCCGAGAAGGGGCGAGACTGCACTCCACCGCCACAGGAGGTAGAGCACTGACCCCACTCCTCAGCAGTTACACTTCTGACATCGTGCACAAGGATGTGAAATCGGGCACTTTTTGCTTGCTGGAGTCCGTCCAATTTGACCACTGGCAATCCAAGCATGTGTTGTTGCACGCACGTGTATGGAAGAGGGGACCACACGGCAGACCTCCATTTGCAGCCTGCCACTCAATGGACAGGAATCTGAAGATGTTTTGAGCAAATAGCATGCCAGCTTGTGACATGACAGGACAATGAAAGCTGCAAGGAGGTGTCAGAAAGTCACCATCATCAGCGCCGCCTAAAACCACACAAAAGAATCCCAAACAGTTCTAGACCTGCAGGAGTCACTGCTTCCTTGCCTACAGAACTCTATGTTGTGTCCGAACTGTTCTTCCCATTTTGCCGCTTTCGCCTGGAGAGTGATGGTCCGGGTCTGGTTCTGCATGCCCTGGCAGAAGGGCTCGCAGGAGCTCCAGCCACTCCAGTCCTCAGAGACTGGGCTCTTGGGCTCTCTTGGGCTCTCCAGGTGTCTCGAAACATCGCTTGTTTTTCTTGCCAGCGCTGGACTTCTGAGGATTCCGTAGGAGGGAGTTGGCGAGGTACAAATGATGTAAACCTATTCAGGCCTCGTGGAGCATGCAAGCTTCTCCTACAAGGCTCTTTTGCTTGATCATCCCTCTGCCAAGCATCACTCGTCTCACAGTCCACCGGGCAATCCTGAGCAATGATTTCAACAGCCAGACTAGAACCAGCTGAAGAACACCTCTCGGCTCGAAATCCGACCCCTATAGCAGCATGTTACAATGTCAAACGACTGTTCCTCCTCGCACCTGCTCCTTTGCTTCTATGAGTCTTGCGCTTGGCCGAAAGAGCTAAAGCAGCTTATAGCGGGGTCCTGCATGTTGCACTGACGCTTCTCTTCGGCATCCCCGGTGCAGTTCTTCCCAAAGCCTTCAACCTCGACCGCCACTCCCCTGCCACGTTCCTCACACGACAAGCAGGGACAGCACGTATGCCGTCACATGTTCACGCTTGACAAGTCACTTGACTGCCATTGCATCGCTGATTGTCATTGCCTGCCATGCTGTGTGCGGATATCTGCATGCAAGGCACCTGCATGCCACCCCCACAACTCACAGAGCAGTTCGTCCATGCCGTCCAGTCAGACCATTCGCAATCCACACAGATGTTGGTGCATTCCTAGCACAGTTGGTCTCCACAGCAAGGCACCGACACATTGGAAAAATGAAGCATTCCCTTGCCCGTCCATACTCACCCCTTTTCCCTTGTTGATGCCTCTGATTGCGTCTTGTTGTCACAGGGCTGGCCCCCAAAAGCTGCGTACTTCTTGACTTTTCGGGACCTGCTCCGTCATGAGCTCACAATGTGCTCTCTTATGCTCTGGATCATCCACCAAGCTCGGCCGTGCCTTTCTCGGGTGCCTTCGCAAAGAGGGTTGCAAGATCCCCAATCGGACCAGTCCTCAGCAGCCGAGAATCTCAAAACGCTCTCGGAAAATGCAAGAAAACGAAGAAATAAGAATGAAGTACATATGAAGTACTGTCATGAAAGGAAGCCATGGCGCTTTGTACTGGCAGTCGATGGGACACTTCTGCCTGTTGCACTTCATGGCCTGGCAGCGATGCCGAGAGTTTCTTGTGAGATTCAGCGCGTTTCGACTCTTCTGCCCGCCTCAAAGATGTTTCCGTCGCAAGGCCGGCCTTCGCCGATCTCCTTCTTCACGTAGACACATGAGCCTTCCTCTGGCTCCAGCTCGAAGTCGGTTTTACAAACCTGACGTGTTGCGAAATAGCGTGTAGGGCTGCGTGGTGCAGTTTCAGACAGCTTATGTGGCACAATTCGCAAGCGTAGGCCAAGAGACTCGTAGGCCACCGTTACAGTCTTTGTCATAAAGCGCATAGCAAGTCGAATCAAGACCTGGTTCCAACATTGCAATAAGCTCGAGCGGAGCAAGCGTTAGTTTATGCCAAAGCCGGGCCACTGCACTTCCTCTCAGCCCTAGCCGGAAGGAACTCCTTCTGCTGCGGCCCCAGGCTCTCGGTGCTGCACCTCCAAAAACAGCCAAAATTCTAAACATTGAAGAAATACTGCGTTGCGTCTGCGACTTGCAAACTACTTGCACAGTTGGCTCTACCTCGCCGGTCGTTTCTCCAGGATTGCTAGGGTCCACACAACGCAAAGCCATTAAACTACAGCCAGTTTTGCCAGGAGGGTTTAGATTACGTACGGACATGAATGTTAAGGAAATGAAGAAAAATATTTCGTTCTCGGCGAAAGCTGCTTCCGGAACTAGTCATGCATCGTTGTGCTCTGCTTTGCTGCTTTGCCTTAGTGTCAAACGGGGGACTTTTAGGGCTCAGCCGTGTTTCTAATCTCGTCTCATTGCTCAAGCTTAGCAGCATCAAACTGAAACGCTGCATGCACAAGAGCATATGTATCAAGGGAGGGAGTGGGAGAGATAGACACAGACATAAACAAAGGGAGAGAAGGACAGAGATAAACAATTTCAACCTGAAATACATATATATATATATATATACCCCCCCCCTCCCAAAACCTGCCTTGTGCGATATTTTTCTGTATCACACTATGCTAGGTCAGCAAATGCCTCACCAGCATGAATTGTGGGTCCGAAGAAAAAGTCTAGAAGTCTAGAAGTCTAAAATCTGGAGACTGGGAATCTGGAAATTCAATGGATGGATACTCGAAGTATAGATTTGCAGATCTAAGGTCCCCCCCCTCTCTCCCTCCAGGATCCACACCTGGATCTGTCTCTTTCTTTCACTGTCTCTCTTCTTCAAATAGATATGGCAAAATACCAATACTTTCCTATCGTATAATGTTTCTGTAGTACGGTCCCTCTGTATCTGTCTGACATAAAGACAACTAGCGAGTTTAATGGAACTAAGTAAACTCAACAAATTAGCTAAACAAGATACATTAGGTATTTCAAAGCTTGTAAGGCCCCAGACCCTAGGAAGAGTGACTGACCTGCAACATCACCCAATAAGAAGACCTAAACATACGAGTATCTCCCAATAAGCAAAGCTTACAAAACCCCCGACGCTAGGATGAGTGTCGTGCAACATCACTTAAGAAACAAGACGGAATACTGACTATATGTAGTGGCACTGACACCATCGCTTAATCTTTCTTGTAATTGTCCATTAGCTGGCACTACAAAAAGCACATTCTTGTCCATGTTATTCCATCCTTCATCGGTATACCTTTTCCTGTTCCTGGATATAAACCTCGAAACATTACTGGATTTCGTTTTCGAACTTATTACATGTGTTTTCGGCGCGCCATTCGTCCTCAACTTCAATATTGATATGTTCATATACAGGGTTGCCGGCACATAATTTACATTTGTTTCATACATTTTAAACAGCAGTATACTAGTTTTTGTTCTCGTATTTTTGCCAGCCGCCTGTTTCTTTACCAAATATTAATTTTCCATCTTTACATCTTTTCATAATGTAGAATCCGTACACTTCATCAATATCATCTTTCTGGCTTGTTATAGCATCTGTTTTAATGTCATATACCCTGATACTCTTTTTAATCAGAAGATCATATGAAATATACATTTTAAAGTTCCTGACCTTAAACCCGAAACCATTCATTGAAGCTCATTTTTCTGACACACTTAATACATAGCATCTAGTACCTCCAAATGACTTCTGACACGCTTAATACATAATATTTAGTACCTTCAATTTCATTTCGTCTATTTTCATGTTCATCGCCTGTCTACTTCAACTAAATCATTTCTATATTGTTCTAGTGAATATATATATTTATATTATATATATATATATATATATATATTCCACCGTGTATACTTTGATGATAACATTGATGATGACATGCTTCTTCTTATGCTGACTATCATCTATTGTCTGAACTTTCGGTATTCTATAGATCGTCAATACTCGCTTACAATTAACTTTGTATACATGCTTTGGAGTTTTACAATCTTTGGAGTTGTAGAATCTATTCTTTACAGTCTATTCTGTCATTCAATCACTGTTTCAAAAACGTGCCATAGCATAAACCTGTTTTTTGAAGAATATATTTCCTATTTCAACTTCTATCATGCATAATGTTAAATTTTGAAGTTTATCAATATCTTTATCATACGGTTTGAATATATCAAAATGCGTAAATTTGGTGATATAATTTCTGATGATGGCTGCCAAACAGAGGATTTGCTCACTTCTGAAAGGCTTGCACACAAGACGATAAGGCACCGGTTGAGATTTCCAACATGTTAGACATTTAGTTTCTTCACCTGAGTCATATAAGAAGTCCGGAGTTGCTGAGTTGCATACTTTTTGCATTAATTCCGGAAGTCCAGAAAACCAGATTCTGGAATTCTGGAACTGGGGGACTGAGAACATCTGGATTTCTGGAATTCTGAAAACATCTGCAGTTCTGGAATTCTGGAATTGGGGGGCCGGAAAAACCTGGAATTCTGGAGTTCTGGAATTGGGGAAGGCGAAAACAACAAGTCGTCTAGAAGGTAGACACATGAGTACGCAATGAATGTGTTCAGTTTGTGGTTATGGGTGCTTGAATGGCAGCATATGCATCAGGATGATGACCAGACCTCAGGGCAAAGCCTAGGGTGTGTAGGTTTGGGTGGGGGGGCACCATTTCTATATACGTATATATATATATATATATACATATATATGCTCGCCTCCCCCCCCCCCAAGATCTGTGTCTACAGGTTTCCAAAGCCCAAAAAACTCAAAAAACACCAAAATCAGGATGCCAAAAAGCCCAATAACCAAAAAAAACAATATTCTGACACTTCTGGAAAGCTGAAAGCAAAAAATCACACCAAGAAAAACAAAAACCCCCCAAACTAAAAAACCAAAACCAAAAAAACGAAACCAAAATATATAAAAAACAAAATAAGCAAACATACACAAACATTATGTCCGAACTCTTGACGTCAAGGGGTAGTGATTCCCTTTGTCCAAGAGTCTCGGAAAACTGTTTTTTGTGTTTTTGATTTTGGGTTTTTTGGGTTTGGGGTTTTCGGTTCTTGGGTTTGTGCTTTTTTGGTTTCAGCTTTTCAAGAGTCTCAGAAGAATGGTGTTTCTTTGTTTTTTTGGTTTTTCTGGTTGTGGTCTTTTTTGGTTTCAGGGTTTTTGGTTTGTCTGATTTTGTTTCCAACTTATAGAGAGTGCTTGCACAAAACCTAGGGAAATACTGTGCTTTTTTAGATACATAGCGCCTGTACTAGGCAAATATTGAATTAATGCTATATGAAAGGCGCGAGTGAACTATCCTAGCTTTTGTTCATTCACAGAATATCTAGTGCAAAGTATAGTGACTGTGCTCGGCAATCTTGACAAATACTGCAATTTTATAAACAAAATACCTTTTCTAAGCAAGTCGTTCTGTTTCTGGAAAGCAATGCTTGTCCCAAACCCAGGCAAAATACTTTTCTAAATAGATAGTGCGGCCAATATATTGAACCATCCATATGAAAAAGGCTAGTGAAGTATCCTAGCCTTACGTCCAAAATGCTCAATTCGCATAGAGAAGCTTGCAAATACACAGTTTTCCTGGAAACGTAGAACTCTTAGACGGCATACACAGCTTACAAACACATAATTCTCCTAGAAACGTAGAATTCTGAAAACAAAGACGACTTGAGCACAACGAACATGTGTACTAGATTTCACTAAAAGACAAGCAGTTTCATTGCATGGTACAGAGTATACTATGTCTAAAACGCACAATTTGCACACACAAGCTCAGAAGCACATTTTTTCTTAGAAACCTATGATTTGCCTCGCGAAGATCATGGTACTCAGAGATTCACAAATCCTAAAGTCTTGGGAGAATCTCTGGCGAAGTCTGGACTTCTGGCTTTTCAGGTGTTTCGACACAAATAATGCAATTTTCCTAAGCAGTTCGTTCTTTTTCTGAAGAAATAGTGTTTCTTCCAAGCAAAATGTTGATCAACTAGGCAAACTAAATACTTATTTAAAGCACACCAATGCAGCATTCATTGCATAGAAATTCAATACTAAGTACATACTGGTTGTGTCGACTTAGTATGAATTCGTTTCTCAGCTTGCTTCGAGTAAGTAATGAAGGACAGCTATTCGGACACACGCCGCAAGCCGCCCGACAAGCGGGCTTATTTTACCACGGAATCAAATATTACTGTAAATAGTAGCCATAATGATATTGCTAGCACGCCAGCAGACCGCCAATCGCTGCGAGAAAGATAGTCGCAAGTACAGAAGCTAAGATGTTGTTTTGAATAACGCTATGTATTTGTTTACTAAGACAACAGTAAAAACACAAAAAGCCATATTTTTTGAGGTGTTAACAGCAAGACTGCTATACCTTCCAGGTTTTTTGGCTTTCGGAGTATATAATGTCACATAATTTTAATCCGAAATTCGGTTGCAGATTTATATACATCTTGCATACATGATGTGTTACGTAAGATAGTCACGTCAATACTCGACAAGTACGATTTTATCAGTATTTACAGTGTTTTCGGAGTGCACTACTTGCGCACCAGTGCTTGCAAGCAAGCAGATCTTGGGGGGGGGGGAGGGTGACCATATATATATATACATATCTCTGTATAAACACATGTACTTACAAAAGTTTTTACCCCGGCAAAGGAATGGACGCACACGTTGTGTCCGCCCCCAAAGGAGGTCAAGATGAAACGGGGCGAAGGGCTGCGAAGACACCCTGGCCCCATGCACAAGCGGGCAAAAACAAAAGCAAAGCCATAAAGAAGCCTTGTTTTATAATCAGCGTTTTGAATATGCAAGTTTTCTTGGTAAGATTCACGTGCACTCCCCTTTGTTGTAGAGCCCAAACGGTAGACGCTGTCCTACTTGCTGGTATCTTTGTAATGGGTTTGGGAGGTCCACTGGCAACTGTCTTGGCAATGCCCAAGCCCACATAGGGGGGACAGAGGAAAAAGTGTGTTCTCACACGCTGGCCTCAGCAGCTCCCTGCAGTGAAGCAGGCTCTGCTGCCAGTTCTGGCAACCCAAAGATTCCAAGAGCTGAAAAAAAAAACCGATGGGAAAGACAGACTCGCTTGATGTCTCGTCGTCGACGCAACAGCTTCGCACGTAGCTCCGAGTGAACTAGTGTTGGCAGGAGCTCCTTTTGAACCCCAATGACGTTGAGATGGAAACATCTTGAAGATAACAGAGCCTCGAAAAAATCATGAAAACGACATGAAGAACCATACCACCGTGAGGACTCATCAGGAAGGAGGCAAAGTTCCATGCTTCCCAGGCCCGCAACCCGATCGTCTTGGCCCACCCATCAGACCACGAGACAGGGAGCCGTACAGAGAGCACAGAGGGGAATGTAGGCAACAAGACGCTCTCTTGAGAGAACCGCAAAGACATTTCTGGTGGGGATATACGAGTACCAGGCAACACAAAGCAAGCTTCACCTTGTGCCGAAAGCATAGGACACACAAAAAAATCGAATGCTTCTCCATGTTCCTCTCTGGCGCCTCACGCCGAGCCGCTTCTCGTAGCCGAATGCTGTTGAAGCGGCTTCCACCTCCCAAGGAGAACAGCTACCAAGGAGGCAGAGAAACGCAGAGCAAAACTCGAACAACTCGTAACAATTCGAGAGCGAGAGAGAGAGAGAGAGAGAGAGAGAGAGAAAAAGAGAGAGAGAGAGGGAGAGCGAGAGAGAATGAATGAATGCATGCATGCATGAATGAATGAGTGAATGCATGAATGCATGAATGCATGAATGCATGAATGCATGAATGCATGAAGGAATGAATGAATGAATGAGCAAGAAAGAAGGAAAGAAAGAGAGACACAGAGAGAGTTCTGAGTTTGTCTGTCTCAAGCCACAGGATGCACTCGAAAGACTCAGTCGTCTCGTGGTCGACACACGTTTTCGATTGCTCTAAGTGCAACAAGGACGAACACTCGTCTCTCGCAGAGCTCTTTCTCAATGTTTGTCAAAGTGTTTTTTCAGTGCTCTCTCTCTCTCTCTTTCTCTCTCTCTCTCTCTCACCTCGAGCAGGGAAGCCGTAAGGTTCGGCCGGTTGATGTACCTCAGGCCAAGTACAAAGAAGGACAGAGAAAAAGGCGTCGGCTGTCTTTCTTGGCTCTCTCTTTTGCAACGGCAAAAGCAGAAGAGACATGACCGGGCCCGGGCACGTCTCCGTACGCGTCCGGTTGGTGTCACCACCGCCACAGCTGACGCTGCAAGTTTCCCACTCCGTCCAATCTGAAACTTGGCAGTCCATGCAGAAGTTGGCACATGCCTGCATAAAAACAGAGCAGAATACAAGCCCAGATAAGACCTATAAACCACAGTGTGAGCTGACATGAAGTGTCGAGAGCCCTTCGATGCCCTTCGGCTTCGATGCCCCGGCCTTCTGCTCGCGAAGCTCCTGCAAAGAGCAACGCCGCAAAGCAAGGAAGAACGGAGCCAGAAGGAGGAAAGAAAGAGGCATGAAGAGAAAATCTTACAACAGACAAAGACAAAGTATGACCTGTAGCGGATGCGAAATTTGGGAGATTATAGACACTTCAGGCCTATGACATCCTTCAGCACTCCTCCAACTCAAGCTTGCAAAGCTTTCAAACAAAGCTTGCAAAGCTTGCAAAGCTTGCAAAACCCGCAAGTGCAGTTTCAGAGTCCTCCTTCACGCAGGCGACGCCGCCATGAGCTGCTTCGGCCACAATGCTGCGACTCCGGGTCGTGTTGCCCGAGCAGTAGGGCTCGCAAACGGACCACTCGGCCCAATCCTCTGAAGAAGGCAAGAAAGAAAGAGGAAGGGAGGGAGGGAGGAAGGGAGGAAGGGAGGAAGCGAGGAAGCGAGGAAGGGAGGGAGGAAGGGAGGGAGGGAGGAAGGGAGGGAGGGAGGAAGGGAGGAAGGGAGGAAGGGAGGAAGGGAGGAAGGGAGGAAGGGAGGAAGGGAGGAAGGGAGGAAGGGAGGAAGGGAGGAAGGGAGGAAGGGAGGAAGGGAGGAAGGGAGGAAGGGAGGAAGGGAGGAAGGGAGGAAGGGAGGAAAGGGAGGAAGGGAGGAAGGGAGGAAGGGAGGAAGGGAGGAAGGGAGGAAGGGAGGAAGGGAGGAAGGGAGGAAGGGAGGAAGGGAGGAAGGGAGGAAGGGAGGAAGGGAGGAAGGGAGGAAGGGAGGAAGGGAGGAAGGGAGGAAGGGAGGAAGAACTTGCTGCGATTTCAACAGCCAAGCTTCGCTGTAGACACAGTCCACGGGACATGGACTCAGCGCCAAAACAGGTGCGTCTTATTTCGTCTCAAGATCTCTGCAAACACTTGTGCTTCTTGTGCTTAGCTTGGGACTCAGTGTTGCAGTTCTTCATTTCGAGGCCATCGCCTTCACAAGGTTTCCCTCCTCCGATCTCCTGCAAAGCAAAGGTGCAACAGCATGAATCAAACCACAAAATAAAAAGTGAAGAACCCTCTTGTGGCATCTTGCGGCCGACGATCCTTCTTGTTGTAAGCGCACGCGGAGACGTCTGTCTCCAGCACGAAGCCCGAAGTGCAAAGCACCACCTTCGACTACCAACCGTCAACCTGCTCTCCTTCAAAGAAGCCGAAAAACTGTGAGAACTATGTGAAGTCTATGTCCCTAGTGCAGGAGCGTGACCTCTTTCGAAAATATCCTAAAGGAGATTCCTCATGAAGCAAACAAGGAATTCTGCCTGGGCTGCACGGGCAAACAAACTACCATGCTGATCAAAAATCTCAGCCTGCTTCCCATCGCAGCCCGTGTCAGATAGACCCAGGCAGTCGGCAGTGACCTGACGGGTGCTGCTCGATACTATAGACAATCAAAAACAGAATCTCACATGGAGTCATGGACTGACCTTGCACTTCTCTTGTGCTTCTGCCAGGGGTAGGGCATCGCTAGCCTGCACAGTCCAACAAAATGTGAACACAGGCCCTCGCAGAAAATTGTTGCCAGCCACATCACATCCAGAAACAAGAAGGCACAGCTCTCTTGCTCTCTTTCAGACTTTGGCCAAGCCTTGCCATGCCAAGCCTTGCCAAGCCCTGCCAAGCCCTGCTAAGCCTTGCCCTTGTCAAGCCTGGCCTGGTGGCTGGAGTCACACTTCTTCCACATCTTCAATTCGAAGCCAAAGATCTGGGTGCCCGCAAGCTGAAGAAGAACCCCACCTGTGCAACTCACCCCACACCGAGTCCTCACCGAGTCCGCATTACGTCTCTGCCAAACTTGACTGTCACATCCTCTGACCTGCTCCAGCTTTGGCCGCAAAGGTCTGGTCCCTGCTCCTCTTCGCAGATTTGTGCATGACACGGTCAGAGACTATTGGGCCTTTTCTCTCTGACCCATTTTATACTCAAACCTCTTCAAGTTTGGATAGTTCGACAAGTTCAGGGGCACTGAAGCATATGCTCAAAAGATCCGTCTCCCGTGCCTATTCATGGCTCCACCACCACAAGGCACCGTGCAGTTGGTCCAGGCAGTCCAATCCGACCAGCTGCAATCCATGCAAAAATTCGTGCAGGGCTGCGTCTCATTCAGTACACCTTGAAGGAAGGAAAGACCAATCCGCAACTCTTTCGACGACTCTTCCTGGTGTGTGTTCCTTCATATTTAATCGTGTTTTAGTCTGCAGAACAACTACGCCTCTGTTGCGACTCCTTGCGTTGTTCCAAGACGCCGCATACAGCACCGCCATTCATGGGAAGTGTCTTCACAGTGCGATGCCGGGACATGTTACCTTTCACAGGACGAAAGCAAGGGGCGGGTGTGATCGGCTGTGCAACAGTGCAACTGTTCCCAAACACCAACAGATTCCTAGCCCAACGCCACGCCTGCGCAGTATGGCTCGCAGGCTGTCCAGTTTGACCAGTCATTCAGTGCGCAATCAACTGGGCAGGCGACAGCCCCACAAGGTCTCATCTCAGTCTTGTTCCTGAGAGATGGCTGCGCAAGGGCATGGATATAGAATGGTAAGTGAATGGTACATAAACGCAGCTGAAGCTGATTGCGACTTTGCTTCCCAACGCAGGCCTTGCCCCCATTGGTGGGTGGGACTGCCACATCTCTTGAACGGTTCTGATTTCCACCGCCACAGGTCACAGGACATGCCACCCAGGCAGACCAATCCTGCTATTCGAGACAACTCGACCAATCGCACTGGAGCGTGCCAACTCAAGACATCGAGCAAGCACAGCGATTTCCAACTCGAGCAAATGGACTCTCCTCGTACTCGCAGTCAGTGCATACGCCATCGCAGGACTCCTCCTCTTTTGTTTCCCCACAAGCCTCCAGAAGAGATTCAAGACCAGCTGCATCAACCAAACGGCAAACAAAAAAGGAAGAAAAAGGAAGAAAACGCAAACTGCAAAAATAAGCTTTTGCTACTCCAGCCTCCCCACCATGTGAGGCAGCTTGGATGATCATGCGGCTTCGCCTGATGCCGTCCCGGTGACATACGACAATGACTTCAGTAACATACCAGCATGATCTAATGAGGAATCTCAAAGAAGCCAAGACGATGCTGACGGCGACCCAGTGGCTTGCGCTTGCCTTTGCAGTCGGGTGCACAGTGGCCCCAGTCCTGCGATGGCTTTGCCCGAAGTGCTGCACTCTCTGACAACTTTTGCCAGCTGGTTCTGAGGAGCTGGAACATGTTGAGAGAGAAACATCAAAAGTAACACGGAGAAAGGAGCATAAAGAACACACAGCGGTGCACTTGAGCTCCTGACACTCTTTATAACAGTAGCAGATCTTTGCTTCGGATCTTTTGAGATCGGTCAGCAAGCCGAGCTTCATACCCCGGGTCTATTGCATTCGCAGCTTTGACTTGGTTGTTGAGTGAAGAGGCCTTGACATTGCCAGAAGTGGCCGTGCTGTAGCAATTATCGAACTGACCCGGAGTTGCGGCCACCAGCTGTGAGCTAAGTGTGGGGTTTCAGCCTCCTGCAGAGCGGCCGTAAGGGAGGGGGGGAGGGGGCGGACATAATTCTGGACATGGGTCGCCAACAATCCTAAGTGAGGTTTCATGGTTGCTGTTGTCCTGCACTCTGCTGAATCTCAAGATCATTCAAGCATATTCTAAGAGTTCAAGCTTCAGTTGGTTTCTGCTAGCAGGAAGGTCGTTCCCTTTCGGTGTCTCCGGGCGAGCAAAATCTAACAGGGACCTCCCACAAGCAAGGTCGCGTTCCAATTTACACCACCCACAACACCACAGGGGCATCCCTGAGTGGAGAGAGGCGGAAACGTACTTGAGATTTTGCAATCTCTTCGGGCGCGAACTCCACAGCCTGCCGGATTTCGCTCCGGGATTTCATGAGGCGGTGGATTCTCTGCGGGATACTCTGTGCCTCCTCTGGGGTACACTGCAGGATTCTTTGGGATTCTCTGGGGTGGGAGACCTGAACGACACGAGGAGTGAAGGAGAGCTTGGCTGATCATTTCTAGCACTTTAACACCTCCACACAAGTGGAGGAAAATGCGACCTCAGACATCAGTTCACTGACAAGCAAGTTTAGCTTACATGCAGATGACGTGCCAGTACACCTCTCATCTGAACACGCGCATGGGCCCGACCAAGAACAAAGAAAGTGGAACATCTGGAGCTTGCCTGCTGGATGAAGCCTGAAGTGCTTGACACAGCTCATCACTGGTGCTAGCAATGGTTGTGTGTGCACGCTGGGTGGTTTTGAGGGGCTGCACCAACCAGGGGTGGCCAGCACGGGCAGGGCGGGGCGCGAGGGACGTGCACGCGGACAACTCGAGGTGGGAGCACTCTCCTACAAAGCGAGAAGCCGACCAATGAAGCCCCAACCCGAGACTACTAGCGACCCCTGTAGCCCTTGCCCGTAGAGATTTGTTTGTGGAGCGCAGCTGCCGGTTTAAGTCGTGCACGTAATTTGCGCGGACTGTTTTGTGGTTGGTCGGTGCTGCGCTGTGCATTGCCAGCCCCGCTCTCAGGTTGCGATTGCCGGCTTGTGCTGGCCGGCTGAATGATGTGGAAGGAGAGTGAGAGAAGACTGAGACTGAAAAGACGGACGGGCAAAGAATGAAGGAAGAACCACAGAGAGAGAGAGAGAGAGCGAGAGAGAGCGAGAGCGAGAGCGAGAGAGAAAGAGAGAGCGGGAGAGAGAAATTTATAGACGGATAGCATGGGTGAACAGATAGAACTCAACGGCGAACGGATGGCAACTTTTTGGCTGAGATAACACCACAGTGTCCTGCCAGTCACTGATGACGCAATCCACTGGACAGTCTTCTTCGTTGCAATCCTGCAGTGCTGGCTTTAGACAATGTTGACTGTAGTCCTATTTCTGACAGTAGAGAGGCCAATGGCACTTGCAACTGAAAAGCGGGCACGCTCTAGAATGTCTTCCAATGGCTTCCATGCCGTAGCTGAGAGGCAACTTTGTATCATGCCAGCAAAGTCAATGCCGGCGCTCAAACTTGAGTACTGCTATTTTGTAAATGTGCAACATTCTACTAGGGATCCACGGAAGCACAGTAACGTGCACAGGTCTGGCAAGTAGAACTGGTGGCATGGTCTTGCTGTTGTCCTCTGTTTGCTTCTTCTCTTCCGCTTGGCAGGCCTTTCCACCATTTTTTGCCTCCAAGAAACTGCACAAGAACTGCCTCTCCTTCTTTGTGCGTTCGCGAACACCAACAGTGCGTGAGGAACTGTGGGAAGCCAAGCTACCTCGGTCTTGACAGATCGAGTCCTGCTCAGACGTGGCCATGCATCACAGTGGCATTGGTCTCAAAATCACAGAGTGCTGTAGCCTGTCGCTACGCTGCTGCACCCAAGAAAAAGTGTGCTGCATCGATGCCTCTTTCGCGATCCACCGCCGCAGGTTTCACTGCACTCAGTCCATTTTTGCCAATCCTGGGCATGCCCGCGGGTTGCAACACGCAACATGTGCCAACACCCAGATATCACAATTCATTTTGCTGAGTCCGATGCGTTGTACTCACAATCCTCATGCAAGGTTCTGCAACACAAAGACAAATACGTAAAGCAGGAAATGACCCAGCAGTGGAGCTCCTGAGCTACTCCGCTGTCTTCCTCTTCCACTTCCTCATCTGATTCGGTTTCCTCCTCTTCCTCCTCCTGGTCCTCATCATCCTCGTCTGTGGTGTCGTTCTTCTGGCCGGCCTGCCGCTGACTCGGATTGTTGCTCCAGGGTCGGAGACATGCGGGAGATCGGGTGAAGCCGGCCGCCTCTCTGGCTGAATGCATCGAAAGCTTTCTGGCAAAGCCTTCAGGTGCATCCAGCAACACAGCACCCAAAAACAAATCGAATTTGCCACTCATGGCCTTGCGCATGGTCCCTGGAACCTGTGGACCTGAGCATCTTTCTTTTGTTGCGTATTGTTCTTCGTCTGCTCTCTATCTCTCTGTTCTCTTTCTCTTTCTCTTTCTCCTTCTCCTTCTCCTTCTCCTTCTCCTCCTCCTTCTCTTTCTCTCTACTTCTTCTATCCAGTAGTGGAGACGGTCCCTCGAGAAGGGGCCCACTCTTCCGTCCATGTGAGATCTGGCATGCTGGGATCTTTCCCGGCACTTCTGAGTAGAGCAAATCAGCTGGTTCAGGGCGCGCTTTTGGGAAACGACACAGCCCCTTTTGCTGTGCTTGCTTGCTGCGCAAAGCACGCGCTCCTCGTCTTCTACTCAAATTGCTCTGGGCACCGACTCAGTACTCAAGTTCGTGGGGCAAATCGCCTTCTTCGTCGGCTTGCATGGCTTTGCTGGGGCCCCTCTCTGAGAGAGCAAATGAGAACTGGCAGCCAAGAACGTGAAATCATTCACGGCAACCGTTCTCTTTTTTTCAGGGCACCTGAGTTCCATTTGTTTTGTTTTTCGCATTTTTGTTGCTCTGTCGTTTCGTTTGTTGTGCCAGTGTCCACGCCGGTAACATTTTTGCGACACCTCGCCTGCGTTCAGACCCTATAGGCTCTCTATAGGAACTATGTGGCATGGACCTTTAGGTATAATGTGAGGTGTCGCCTTTCTTTCCTAATAAAACTCAGCAAATAACCAACGGACTTCCCCTTTCCCTCTTTCCTTTTGTCATCTTTGACTCTCCCCCTCGCCTCTTTCCCTGACAGAACGGACTGAGAGGTGCCCTTCTCGGCGGATGCTATAATAATGTTCTTAGTCAGAATATTCTGTGTTTTGTCAGAAGCAGGAAAGCCTCCTTCTTCCGAAATGAGACAGCTTATCTTCTCGCATTCTCAGCACGAATCTCCGTAGACTGTTCTTTCAAAGAAATAGCCCCGTTTATCTCTCCAAGAAATGAATTCGCTTGTGTTTTTTCAGAAGAAGCAGAGCACTCTTCACACTCTCGATAGCCATCTTTACCCAGAAACAAAGGACCCTTTTCCAGAGAAAAAACAAAGTTCTTTTCTCTCTTAAGAAATGCCTTTGATTCAAATGACGCTTGCACTAATCAGAACGTTCTTGAAAAGAAGTGACAATCCGGGACAAGCGTGCCCTGCCGTTCTTGAAGGGTCTCCTCTAATCTTAATCGGAAATGAGAACCGTCCCCCTGTCGATTTCCTACTGTTGGTGATCCCTGCGAAATGCGGGAGCCCATTGGTCCCTCTATAGTAGTAGCTGCCCTTCCTTACCTGCTTTAGGGGCAACCAGGTGAACCAAGGATGTTGCGCACGGAGGAGTCCCCTAGCTGTCCTTCATTAAATGCTTGCAGCTTGGCGGAACGATTCAAACCGTGTGTCACCTATCTTGTATCTCGCTTCGGTTCTTTTGGCATTCCTCCTCTCACCACTCCTGAATCATTCGTATCCATCTCCTGTCTTTCAAAGAAAAGAGAAGAGCAAACAAGGAAGAAAGAATGGAAGACAGCATAGGGAAAGATACGGAAGAGCCCGTCCCCTCCTTCGGAAATGAGGGAGCTTCTCGTGTCCTCAACACGAGCACATATTTTCCAAGGTTGTCTTTACACGACCCGGCTTCAAACCCCAAGACCGAACATGAACAAGTACCCTTGTCACGCTTCGAGCCGACCGAAGCAGATATCCTTGCTCCTACTTAAACCTTGTATCTCCTGGGGAGTCTCTGGGGTTGGGCACTCCAGGAGTCTCTGAAATTGGGCACTCCAGGGATTCTCTGGGGTTGGGCACTCCAGGAGTCTCTGGGGTTGGGCACTCGAGGGAGTCTCTGAATTGGGTGCCGAGGGAGTCTCTGCAGTTGGGCACTCCAGGGACTCTCTAGGAGTAAACCGGGCGAGGAGAAGAGTTCCGGGGCGAGGAGAAAGGGTTGAGTTCAAAACATCTAACAACCCCACACCGAAGGTGGGGAACAACAACACAATGCTGCCATAGCATCTTACACAATTACGACAATTACTCACACAAGAGGAAAAACGACAGATTTCCCTCAAAGCTGGACATCGCCATTCTTTCAACAACTTGCAGGTGTTACGAGCACCTCCCTTCTTCTGCTTTGACAAGGTAGGGAGCAGAATAAAGACTGGAAAAGAGGTGAGGCAGGAAGCAAGTAAGGAGCACAAGGAGAAGAGGACCCCTCCAAACTTCGTTTCTTTTTTGTCTTCCTATCTAATGAGAGAAAAGGAATCCTTCCGCTTCCTTCTCTCTCACTCGCTCTTCTTGTGTCGTTGTTTTCTCTTTCTGTCCTACTCCCTCTTTCTCACTCTCTCTCTCTCTCTCTCTCTCTCTCTCTCTGTCTCTCTCTCTCTCTCACTGCTTCCCTTTCCCCTCCTGCCTGGCCACCTTTTCAAGCAAAAAACGAAGAGAAGAAAAAAAAATGCGAAATGAGCGGGAGAAAGGAGGTAGTGAGGGAACAGAACAACTCTTCCTTCTCCCTTGTCGTTCTTTTTCTCCTTTATGCTCTTCTTCCGGGTCCTTCTTCCTTTGCCTCCTGAATGATAAGGACAACGGTAAAGATGGGAGAAGGGGAGGGGGACGATGGAGAAAAGGGAAACCGAAGGGAAAATGAAACAGGAAGCTAGACAAGAAGCACACCAACAAAAAAGGAAAGAGATGCGAAGACAATGGTGGAGGAGAAATGGATGAAGGCAAAGTAAGAAATGACAGGGGAAAGCGCAGAGAACAAGACAGAGGGAGAGAGAGACAATATGGACATGAAAAAGGAACGGTGACGGCTGTCAGGGGTTGGATGCTGGTAGCACAATGTTGCTCTGCGCTGAGGCGGTGGAGCGCGGCGCTGCGTTTTGCCGTACATCTTTCTCAACAGTTACTCAATAGTTACGTCATGAATGCCCAATATGAATGTGTACCTGGAAACGACGACTAATTAGTACACAACGATCTGGAAATACTTGACTCAAGTAACATCGTCGACATGAAAAAATCCTGCCTGCCTCTAGCGACTCGTCGCAGGATTTTCCATTTCAACTATTTCATCCAAGTGTTTCCAGCATGTTGGCTTATGAATCTTTCTTTCAAGTCATTCACACATATACCTTCTTTTTCTGTTCAATTGAGGTTGAGGACACACTAGGGTTCACGATGACACACCAGGATTTACAGAACTCCTTTCGAGGACAGAGTAGGGTTTACAACACACACACACACACACACACACACACACACACACCAGGGTCTACAAAGCACCTTTCGTTTTTGAGGTTGGACACCAGCTAGCAGAACACCTTTGGTCTCGAAGAGGAAACACCAAGGCTTTCGTCTCTGACAAGGACCCATCAGGGTTTGCAGAAAAACCTTGCGTTGTGAGGTTGAGGACACCACCGGTTTTACAAACAACCTGCCGTGTTGAAATGGATGAAATGGCTGACTGAAATCGTGGAAATGGAGGAACCCTCACCCCACCTGCCGGGATAGGGTACGAGTGTTTTTTCTTTTGCTGTGCCGGCTTTTTTGCTCTGGGGGCCTTCTGCGTCTTTTTTTTTTGCTGTGGGGGCCTTCTGCGTTTTTTTTTTGTGCTGTGGAGGCCTTGCGCGTTTTCTTTGCTGTGGAGGCCTTTGCGCGGTTTCTTTTCTGCGGTGGAGGCCTGGAGCGTTTTTTTTTGCTGTGGAGGCCTTGCGCGTTTGTTTTTTGCAGTGGAGGCCTTACGCGCTTTTTTTGCTGTAGGGGCCTGGTGGTTTTTATTTTTGCAGTAGAGGCCTGGTGCGTTTTTCTTTTTTTGCTGTGGAGGCCTTGTGCGTGCTTTTTTGCTGTGGAGGCTTTGCGCGTGTTTCTTGTTTTTTGCTGTGCCGGCTTTTTTACTCTGGGGGCCTTCTGCAATTTATTTTTGCTGTGGGGGCCTTCTGCGTTTTTTTTGCTGTGGAGGCCTTGTGCGTCTTTTTTTTTGCTGTGGGGGCCTTCTGCGTTTTTTTTTTCTGTGGAGGCCTTGTGTGTGTTTTTTTGCTGTGGAGGCCTTGCGCGTTTTTTTTGCTGTGGAGGCCTTGAGCGGTTTCTTTTTTGCTGTGGAGGCCTTGTGTTTTTTTTTTGTGCTGTGGAGGCCTTGCGCGTTTTCTTTGCTGTGGAGGCCTTGCGTGTTTTTTTGTTGTGCTGTGGAGGCCTTGCGCGTTTTTTCGCTTGAAGCACGCTTTGCAAGGTTTAGGGCTGGTTTCGGGCTTGGGGTTTAGGGTTCAGGGTTCAGGGTTTAGGGGTTTAGGGTGTTTAGGGTTCAGGGTTTAAGGGTTTAAGGGTTTTGGGTTCTAGGGTTCAGGGTTTAGGGTTTAGGGTTTTTTTGCTGTGGAGGCCTTGCGCGTTTTTTTTTGCTGTGGAGGCCTCGCTCGTTTTTTTCGCTTGAAGCACGCTTTGCACGGTTTAGGGCTGGTTTCGGGCTCAGGGTTCAGGGTTGAGGGTTCAGGGTTGAGGGCTCAGGGTTTAGGGTTCAGGGTTGAGGGCTCAGGGTTTAGGGGTTTAGGGGTTTAGGGGTTTAGGGGTTTAGGGGTTTAGGGGTTTAGGGGTTTAGGGGTTTAGGGGTTTAGGGGTTTAGGGGTTTAGGGTCTAGGGTTTAAGGTTTAGGGTTTAGGGTTCAAGGGTTTAAGGGTTTAAGGGTTTTGGGTTCTAGGGTTCAGGGTTCAGGGTTTAGGGTTTTGGGTTTAGGGGTTTAGGGTTTCAGGGGTTCAGGGTGTTGGGTTTAGGGGTTTTTTTTGGGGTTTGCTGGGACATTTAGGGCTAAGGGCATTTTAGGGCTCAGGGCCTTTTAGGGATCAGGGCTTTTTTCGGTTTTAGGGCTTTTCAGGGTTTAGGGCTTAGCGCTTTTCAGGTATAGGGTTTAGGGCCTTTTAGGGCTTGGGGGCTTTTTAGGGCTTAGGTCTTTTCAGGGCTTAGGGCCTTTTAGGGATCAGGGCTGGTTTTTTTAGGGTTCTGGGTTTAGGGCTAACAGCGGGGGGTTGGGGGGGGCGCAGCCCCCCCCATTCGCAAACACAATGCTCGCACGATGGGTTTCAACAAGATCCACATACTTTGAAGTACGCTTTGCACGGCTTTAAAACCAAAAAACACAGGGGGGTTGGGGGGGTGCATGTACGATGGGTTTCAACAAGGTTCATATGGGTCATGTGCTTTGAAGCATGCTTGCGCGGCCAAAAAACAGCGGGGGGGTTGGGGGGGGCACAGCCCCCCCCCCCCATTTGCAAACACAATGCTCGATGAAGCACGCTTGCACAGCATATTTCACTTTGAAGCATGCTTCTGCACGGCTTTGGAGAGAAAAAAAACAACGCAGCGGGGGGGTGGGGGGGGGGCGCAGCCCCCCCCATTTGCAAACACATGGCGCGGGGGGGTT